TCAGAGTCATTAGAGACTCAAAACCGAAAGACCGGCTATCTCTGGAAGACACCTCTGAGAAGCAATCATTCCATAAGGGTTTTAAATAGATCAACAAAGATATTTACAATAAACAACTTCATAATATCAACCCAGGAACTAAACCAGGGACAGTAACAAAAATAAAAATGAGAAGGCATTTAAGCAAGTCACAAACCCAGACTTCCACCCCACAAAAGGCAATTTCTGGGGGAAATGAGGTGCAAAAGTCTGATAATCAACCACCTGGACACCCTGAACAGATAGCACAGGAAGTAACAAAACAGATGAATGAGGCTCTAGAAAAATTAAAAGCAGAAATAATCTCCCAGATAACTACAGGGATGGTGAACAGAGTGAAAGACATGATTAGAGGCTCTAAAACAGAAACTGATAAAAAAAAATGGATGAGCTCAGAAACATGCTGGAAGCCAGGAATGCCCAGCATAAGAAAGAAATGGAAACCATGATCTCCCAACATAAGAAAGAAATGGAATCCATGAAACAGATTCAAACAGATATTGAGGAGATTAAAAACTCCATTGAAAGCATGCAGAGCTGATTAAGAGATTCTGAAGATAGAATATCAGATATAAAAGACAGGATTGCAGTGAAAGATCATGAAAACAGAGATTTCTTAAAGATAGCAAGGGACCATGATAAATCAATTCAACAGCTGCTAGATGATGCAAAGAACAGTAACAGACTGATAGGAGTCCATGAAAAAACAGGAGAAAGTACAATTGATATAAAAAACTCTTCACAGAAGTAATAGTAGAAAACTTCCCAGATAGAGGAGGAGAATTGGACATACAGATAAGTGAGGCATATAGAACTCCACAAAGCCCTGATCAAAAAAAAAATCTACACCTAGACATATAATAGTCAAGATCCCAGAAAGCCAACAGAAGAACAAAGTCCTACAGGCAGTTAGAGAAAAGAAACAAATCACATATAAAGGAAAGCCCATCAGAATCACAGCAGACTTCTCAACACAAACCCTCAAATTAAGGAGATCCTGGAGTGAAGTATTTCAAAAAGAAAATAACTTCCAACCGAGACTGTTGTATCCTGCAAAATTGTCTTTCAAAATCGATGGGGAAATTAGACACTTTCACAACAAAGAAACCTGAGAAATTTCATGAACACCAAACCAGCACTCCAAACAATTCTAAGCAATATCCTAGAAAAAGGCATTGAAAGTCACAACTCCGTGAAGCTCAACAGAGGGAAGCCACCAGACAAGGTAAGAAACTAAAGGGAAAGGAGGAAAAAGAAATAAGAGCCAACAACAGTAAAACATCATGACAAGGATGAGTCAATATCTCTCAATTATAACTACCAATGTTAATGGCCTCAATTCACCAATCAAAAGAAGTAGACTGACAGAATGGATTAAGAAGCAAAACCCAGCAATATGCTGTATACAAGAAACACACCTAACTCAAAAAGAAATTCATAGACTGAAAGTAAAAGGATGGAAAACGGCTCTCCACATGACAGGAATTCCAGAAAAAAGCAGGGGTAGCAATCTTATTTGCAGACAAAGTAGATTTCTAGCCAAAACTAATTAAGAGAGACAAAGATGGTCATTACATCCTTGTGAAGGGAACAATCCAAGAGGAAGAGATGACAATCCTAAATATATATGCACCAAATATGAATGACCCAACTATACAAAACAAATATTAATGGACATGAATAGCCAAATAAGCACTATTACCCTTGTAGTGGGGAACCTCAGTACCCCATTATCACAAACAGACATATCATCTAGACAAAAAATTAACAATGAAATTCTAGAATTGAACAAAACAAATGAACAAATGGACTTAATAGAGATTTACAGAGTGTTCCACCCCACAAATTCAGAATACACATTCTTTTCAGCTGCACACAGGTCATTCTCCAAAACAGACCTCATGCTAGCTCACAGGACATGTCTACATCAATGTAAAAGAACTGAAATTACCCCTGTATATTATCAGACCATAGTGCAATAAAATTGGAGATCAATAACATGAGAAACTGCAAAACTCCCACAAACACCTGGAAATTGAATAACACCCTCCTGAACAACCAATGGGTCACAGAGGAAATTAAAGAAGAAATTAGACAGTTTCTACAAGTACATGATGATGCCAGTACAACATTTAGGAATTTATGGGACAAAATGAAAGCAATTCTATGTGGGAAATTCATAGCAGTGAATGCCCATATTAGAAAAACAGAGAGAACTCAGATAAATAACCTAATGCAGAACCTCAGACTCCTAGGAAAAGAAGAGAATAACAAACCCAAAGCTCTCACAAGAGAGGAAATTATAAAGATCAGAGCAAAAATCAATGCAATGGAGACTAAGAAAACGATACAAAAAATCAATGAATCAAAGAGTCAGTTTTTTGGAAGAATAAATAAAATCGATTAACCTTTAAATAACCTTATCAAAAAAAGGAAAGAGAAGACTCAAATCCATGCAATTAAGTACTAAAACATGGAAGTCACAACAGAACCAGCAGAAATCCAGAGGATCATCAATACCCACTTTGATAACCTATACTCTAATAAAGTGGAAAACACAGAAGAAATGGACAGATTCCTAGATACATATGAAGTGCCAAAGTTAAATGAAGAAGATATAGAAGTTCTAAACACCCCAGTGACAATGAGTGAAATTGAAAATGTAATAAAAAATTTACCAACAAAGAAAAGCCCGGGTCCTTATGGCTTCACTGCTGAATTCTACAAGACATTTAAAGAAGAACTAATGCCATTTCTCTTTAAACTCATCAAGGAAATTGAAAGGGAAGCAAGGTTTCCAAACTCATTCCTGTAAGCAAGTGTGACTTTTATTCCCAAACCAGGGAAAGACCCAACCCAAAAAGAGAACTCCAGGCCAATCTCACCAATGAACATAGATGCCAAAATCTTCAACAAGATACTGGCAAACAGAATACAGAGGGTCATCAAGAAGATCATACACCCTGACCAAGTCAGATTTATCCCAGGGATGCAAGAATGGTTCAACATTCATAAATCAGTAAATGTAATACACTATATTAATTGAGTCAAGGACAAAAACCATATGATC